GCTTTCTTTAAATTAAGATATACAATTAACTATCTTTTTCACATCCATAATGATTTATTGAAGAGCAAATATCTGGTCTCCACACACTCTGCTTGGCATAAGCTTACATTCAATTTCCTAAATGTTGCTTACTGTCACCTCTCATACTTTTCTAATCATAGTTCTGCCAAATATCTTCCTGGTACATTTAACAAATTAACCCTGTGTAAATTATGCATTCATTTGTTCTACTTCAATAGTCGGGCACAAATGCAATCTTTACACTCACTAAGCATGCTGCACAGCCATTCCATATGCAAACACATATATTTTAAATTTTTTCCAGTTACACCATATGTGCAGCTGTCCCATTTTTCAACATTTCCACAGCATTTACGATGTCATTTATATAATTTTTTTCTTGGACTAACATCTATAGTATTCATTTCAGTTCTACTCTTTAACATATTGCATATCAATCTCTAAAATATTCCTGCCCTGTCTCAGGCCACGCACCCACAAACGCACAGAGAGGTGGTTGCAAACTTTGGTGGGAAGTTTGTGAGGCAAATAAACAAGCGGCAAAGGAAATGTGAGTGCAAGCACACACGCACACACACTGGAGAAATCGTCCCCCACAGTCCAGCAAGCTTGCCTTAAGAGAGTCCCAGTCCGAAACAGCAGGCACAAGAGTAGCCAACCAAACTCGAAGGGTTGTCAGCCGGTCCGGTCCAGAGTCACAGTCACAGGTTTCAAGGCGGGAGACGGAGTCTGGGTGAATAAGCGGTTGTTGCCAACGGAGTGGCTTGAGGTCGCTGCTCTTCTTAAATAGAAGCAACCCCGGTGTTGCTCATTTGAAAGGGCGAGGGTCCTTTCCTGCGAGGAGCCTTGCAGAGCGCCTTTGCTGTGCTCTGCTCTCCTCTCTGCAGGGAAGCTCAGACTCATCTTCCGAGTCTGGTGGCAGCCATGTCTCCCGGTTCCTGGGCGGCGCAGCCTCCTCTTCTTTCCCGCTTCCTCTTCGTCCAGCAACTCTGGAACAGGCTGCTTATGGACGGTCTCCTCGTCAGAGTCCGAGCTGGCTTCCAGCGTTACTTCATTTTAGCCTCATGCCAAACAGTTTCATCACTTTTATTTTTAATTCCATTTATACCGAGACTGTTTAGCTCTCTTCACCCACTTCCAAACAATATTTTATTTCCATCAAAATCACTCAGCATTTTTATGCCTCTTTGCAGCCATGTCTGTAACTATAATTTTCTCTTGATACACACTACACAATATTTTTCTCCCATCCTCATTTTTGCTGCAATCATTCTCTTATGTGTGTCTTCTTATCCACAGCCTCTTTTGCTTCATCATTCCACCAAGTGTCTTTTTCCTTCTTCCCATTAACATGGCTACACACATTTCTGTGGTACTTTGTAACATAATTCTTTTCATTCAGTTTCCCCCACCTTCTGCAGCATTTTTCATTATGTCCAGTGTTCATTAATTATATTGGGCAATTCATTTATCATTCTTTTTCATTCAGGCCTCATACTTTTTCCTCCTGTAGTCATTCTATTTTCACTCATTTATTGTACTTTTTTTCTTTCTTCCATATGCTTTTTTTACCAAGATCTATTCCAGAAGATGGCTTGTTCAACCTCTTGACCCCCTTGAACTCTTCATTAATCAAAAGAAATCAAATCAGACATATATCCTCACACTCACATATGATTACACCAGATACACATATTGCTCAGCGAAGAGTGTCAAATATTAGAAAAATCTAAAACAAATATGTGGCTTTAGCAAGCAATACATTTGGGAGAAAACCTCAAGTACTGTACACAGACAGGGTGAATATACAGCAGACAACATGGAAAGATATCTGAAAAATCAGTGAAGTGTATATGAAAACAAGTTGCCTAACTCTAGAACAGAACAGTGCAGCAGGGACACATGATGAGGTGCATGGTACAAGATGCAAGACTGACAGATGAATTGTTGGGAAAAGCATTTAACACAGCCCACTACTTGCAGAACAAACTTCCATGAAAAGCCATAGATGCAACACCATATGAGCTGTGGCCCGGAAGGAAGCCCAGCCTAGGGCACATAAAAGTATTTGATTCTAAGTGCATGCATATGTGTCAAAAGAAAGGAGAACCAAACTGAACTGCATATGTGATAGTTGGAGATTTCTAATGCTGCAAGAGATATAAGATTCTAGATTCTTTCACAACTGGCTCTAAAGTGTACAGCATAGCTTATTTAATGAGAGGAAAAAGAATAAACTTGTGTCAGATTATCTTTCCCATATTGAAGCAAACAGCCAAGCAGAGACCATAAGCTTCAAAGAAGATCCTTATTGCATGCCTAGAAGTTAACTGTGTGGCGGACTTAGAAGGAGAAATGAAGGCACCATAGCCCAGACACTTCAAAAATTCTGATAAATGGGTTCCACCGAGAAGGCTGTCCTACACTGTGAAGAGGGAAGAAGTGGAAGAACCTCACACTGGGAAGGATATTGAAAGGATGCCAGTCATTGAAGGAAACAAATAGAGAAGAACTCCAGAAGAGAAGACTGAAGCACTTCACAAGAATGATACTTGGAATCTTACCAAGCTATCCACAGGAAAGAAAACTTTTGGATGCAATAAAGTTTTCAAGACCAAGTATGGGGTGAAAGGGATATTTAGTGCCAAAAAGCAAGACTGCCAGCCAAGGAATATACCCAGAAGTATGGTAAGGACACAATGAGAGGTTTGTGCCATTGATCAAGCATACCTGATCTTGGGTGCAAGCTTCAAAAGAACATCCACAGCTTGAAGCAAGAATGAGAAGCTGAACCAGTTCCTTGGCAAGCAAGGCTTCATGCAAAGTAAAACTGATCCTTGTCTTTACCTTTAGATTCAGAAATGACAGATGGCATACATTTTCACTTCTGAGGAAGATTTAGTCATCAGTTACCATGACAAGAAGGATAGCTAAGAGATAGCAAAGAACCTCAACAAGGAGATAGAGGTGAAAGGTTGGGAAGAAGCTCCTATTATATTGGCCTCCAGATAAAAAGAGAGACAGAATTAACCAAAAATCAAAGACAGAAGATAAAAGATTTCTTGAATGTTTAGAGCTAACTGAAGTCAGTGAAGCTGGTATATTTTAGAAACTGCCTTCTTAAAACAATCTGCAAACAATAAGACCCTGCTTGAGAGTGACAAATACAGCACTTCAGTTGGAAAGCTTTTCTACTTAGCCACAGTGACTGTGCCAAACATTGCTCTAGCAGCAGTCTGTATGGAAGGTGAGAGCACCAACCAAAGGGGACTGAATTGGAGTCGAGGGGTGGGGGGGGGGGGGGGGGGGGGAGGGCAGATACTTAAATGGCACTGCACACTTAGATCTTTGACTTCTAGGCAGCAGCAGATCAAAAACTGGTAGGCTACATGGATGTATATTGGGCAAAAGATAGGACAGATTGTAAGTCCACAAGTGGACAGCTGTATGGAGTGGTTAGCTGGTCAAGCAAAAAGCAGTCAGTTGTTGCCCTATCATCCACAATGAAGTAGAATATGTATTTTCAGCACAAGTCAGGCAAAAGATAGCATGGATGATGGGATAGACGAGTCAAAGTCAACAGTCCTGCTGGAGGATGATCAAGGGTATATTCAGTTCTTCCAAATGGAAAAAAAACTACATTCAGAACAGAACATGTTGATATTAAAGACCACTGTGTACAAGATGCTCAAGAAATGGGACTCACTGGCCTGAAATACTGCCCATATGAAGAGATGTTGGCAGGTGTATTCACTAAGACTTTGTCCACTGATGGACACAGAACCCTTAGAGAGATTCTGGTTGGTACACAAGCCAGTAAGAAAGGGGTTTGGAGGTCCAAATACAAAGGCTCTGAATCTTCAGCTCATGACCTTCTGACCACAAGGAAACAGTAGAATGTAGATAGAGTTAAGCACTAACTCTCTGTCCCCTATATTTATCACACTGCCTGCTCTTTGTCTAAAAGATTGGTAATCTGGGGTCACTTCCTTCAGCCTTTTCTTCCAGGAGCTATGGACGTAGTACATGCTCTTGGACTTTTATCCTGGTAGGATGTAGCTTGCTAGGTGCTAGGTCTTGTCTATCCCTCTAATGTATTTCTTGTAAATAAATCTCCTTTCTCTTATAGTTATAAAACCTGCTTCATTAATCATTGCTCAGGTCAGATTTTCACTCACAGGAATTGCTTGCAGACACAGACAAAAGGCTTCAGCCTCCAATAGTTGGGATAGTGGCTGACATAGAAGACAAATAGCAGACTGCTGATTGGCAATGCATACATGAGTAAATATTTTAGTTATGATACAATTAAGCCTGGTTTAACATTTTGTATGAAGGTGTTCACAGATATGTAAACTCTGGCCAAACTAACCCAATTGCTACCGATTTCTCTGCTTACTTACAGTGTAGATTATCTTGGGAGATTGTGTACTCTTGGTTATGGTGACATTTAAATAGAGCTTGATTGGTTCATTTCAGGAAAGCCAATGTTGCATCTTAAATGAGACAATTTCTAACAGCAGAATGTTATGTTTAGACATGAGGCTCATTGAGTTCAAATTCCCTGACTCCCAGGTAAGTATGTGTAAATTGCAACTCCTGTATGAATGTCCCTTGAAAGAGTACTGTACTGTACTTTTGAAATAATGCCCATAATTGTAGCCAATGTAAAATTCAGAAACAAGATTAAAAGTTGTCCACTGAGTCCATTATTGTAGGCAATCAAATCTGGACTACAGACAGCCAAGTAATTATTAGATGGAACAAAAAGAGTGTTTCCCTTTGCTACCAACTATAGGTACTTTAGATTTTTGCAGCTCAGATCTGGTGGCCGTCTGGGTTTAAATCCATATACATCAACTTAAGCCCTAGTAAATTGGATTTGTATCTACATGTAAATCAACTTAATCAACAGAAATTAATGTAAGATTGTATGGGAGCAGAAAGAACACTGTTTTTCTCTGTTTTGTAGGAACATCATGGATTACTATGGAAAGTATGCTGCTGTCATTTGTGCTGTGTTATCTGTATCTCTGAATATTCTTTATTCATTGCCAGAGGGAGAGTTTACCATACAGGGTGAGGTGCTTTTAAAATATGAAATAGAAGAAAACATATGGTGATTATTGTTATTGCTGGTTCTTGTTATTTAATAATGTAACTGTTAGATTGTTTTATGTTTTCTAAACTGTTAGATTGTTTGATTGTATCTAGGGAGGATTTTAATCAATTTATATGGCCACCCATCTCATCATAGTGACTTTGGGCAACTAATAACAATTAAAAACACAGCATAACAAGAAAAAATAAATATATAACTGGCAACTGAGATAAATAACAAACAACTATCTACATAATCACTTCACAGGTTCTAATTGACACTCTGACCCCCATGCCCGGGGGTCTAGCCTTCAGAAGACTTGATCAAAGTAGATTACCAATAAATAAGTTCAGTGTGTAAATATACTGGATAAATAAACATGTGGAATATATATCTAAATAAATAAAAACCCTATCATCTATAGACCATAATTATAGGCAATTTTGCAGAAGTTGGCAATCTAAGTAGGCAATTGTTCATCAGAATACTTTTAAAAATGCTTCCATGTTACAGATTCAGTGAATGAGTATAAAGAATAGAGCTTTTCAGCTGTGACCCTCACAGTAGTTCACCAGGGAGGCTCAGTTGCTATATTATTTAATGAGATTTTAATACCAAGCAAAGACTCATCAAGGCAGGAAAAGTATGAAAAACATTAATACCATTTATTTCTTTAAATACTTCAAAATCATGTAGGGAGGTAGTTAGACCTTATATCACATTATCACACAGTACTGTAAAGGTGTGCAAATGAAAGACAAAGATATTGCATAAAAGCTGAACAAATTTTCTGCATCTTTCTTCTTTGCGGAAGATGTAGGTCAGGTACATACAATTAAAATAACTTTTCCAGGAAATAAATGAAGAACAAAGTTCAGCTAGGACATGAGGCAAAATCTAGGCCTTTATACCAACAAACTAAAAACGAACAGATCACTGCACTGGTCCAAGCAGTATCTGTTTGAGGGTACTTAAAGTATTCAAACTAATCTAACTAAAAAAAAAAAAACTTTATTAACTTAATTTATAGATAGTTCCTGAAATAAATGGGAACACTGGGTTCTGCCATAGGTCTCTATTTTGGCCAGTATTTTGTAACATGTTCTTAAATGATGCAGAACTGAAATGAGCAACAGGGTGGCCAAGTTTGCTAACATTCCAGTGTTGCAAGACTGGTAAAGAGTTAAAGATCAGAAAGCAGAAAATATAGATAAATGGAAAATTCTTAAATTAATAAGAGTGCTCAGGAAATATGTAGTGGTACTCATGTACTCTGATAAGCAGGAAAGATTGGCCTATGTAAACATACATGTGCATGCACAAGTTCAAATGCAAATTAAATACTGATTTATAGTCCTGGTTAGTGAGCACGCTGTGGCTTGATCAAATTATCAAAAACAAATATCTTTACCACTTTACTAAGGAAGGAACCCTGGTTTCTATGAAGGAGTTTTCCCAGTAATGCACTTTGGGAGGGAAGAAATGAATGAGTACTTATGCCCACCATTTTATTCGTGTACCTGATGTTACACGTTCTCATTCAAACTTTTCTCCTTACTTTATTAAACATTAGTGTGTAGATATTTCTAAGGACACTAAATGGAAAACAATTTCTCTCTTTGGAAGCGGGCTGCATGTGTGTAAAAACCTAAACGCCTCTGTTCTGTCACACAGGTCCAGCTTATTCGAATGTAGCATAACATTCCATATTAGAATGTGGAGACCTAAGTGGAATCTGCAACAGGATTGAATCTTTCTTCTATATTCTTTTTGTGTGTCTGCTAGATTGTCCCGAATGTAAACTAACTTTGAACACTCAGATGACTAAACTGTTCAATGGCAGGCCTGTGTACCAGTGTGCAGGATGTTGTTTCTCAAGAGCTTATCCCACTCCCATGAGGTCAAAAAAGTCCATGCCTGTGCCAAAGAACATTACTTCAGAAGCAAAATGTTGCGTAGCAAGAGCTTTCAAAGAGGTAATGGGGCTATCCCTAAGCAAAGGAGGGTGAGGTTGCACTTGTATTTACTCTTCTTCAGGCCTAGTTTCTATGTGGACTGTACAACCAGGAACCGCAACAAAGGGGGGAGAGGAGGGCTACAGGAAGGGACCATAAGCAGAAGACAGGTGAACGTGCTTTGTTTTCAGCATGTGTTTGGATATTAGTTCTGGGTTTCTGCTTTCATTTAGGGAAAAACAAGAATTCTGGCAAAATATTAACTATAAATATTTTATTGGAATGAATTCTGAGACATTACATTTAATGTCTGTTATCAGAGACCTGATTTGGGGACACTCATCCAGAATCTTCCTAAATAGAATGAACAGGACTATTTATTTATTTATAGCATTTATATGGCCACCCAAGTGGCCTCTGGGTGGTATGCAAAAAGTCAACTACAAATACAAACCCCAAAGAAAGCAACACTATACATTAAAAACCAACTAAAACCATAACATGGTGTCCAAATAAGTGGTTGGAACTCCACTTATGTGGACCCAAAGGCCATTACCTTTAAAGAGTCCCCACCCCCAGATGTATGCCCATTAAGCCCAGAGCCTAAATGAGGAGAGGGTTAAATGAAAGGTTGGGGCCTGATGCTTTCTGAAAGGGCAGACCTCTCACTGCATATCCTCACTCCCTGCTTCCTATAAAGGAGCAGCATACCATACCCTCCTCTTCCCTTCCAGCCTAAGTCTGTCCAAATTATTCTAGTACTAGAGGAAAAATCCAGTATCCAGAAATTAACTGAGCAAGATGAGCATCTTAACCCTGTCTACTGACCCAAGTTCTGTGTCAGCTCAGTACCCCTCAACCAGTTGAACAGCTGAAGTCCTCCTGACTTTAGGATTCAGCCTACTGCAAAGTTCCCTGACCTGATGCATTCCAATGTGCTGGATTTTGGCTCACTTAATTCTCTTGTCAGCTTGTTCTGCCAGCATGACCAATAATCATATCAACTGGGTGATGGGAATTGAAATCCAACATATTTGCCTGTTTCCACTTTAGGGAAAGGTCTATTTTTAATTGCAATGCATTATATAACCATTCAAACTAATGATAATATAATAGGTCATAAAAATGATTATAGAATTAGCATAGGCTATGGGTAGGCAACTGGAGGGATTTCAGTGGCTAGTACAATTGCCAGCAATCCTGTTAAGATGGTCCCTGAAAAGTATGCTGGAAATTGTAGTTCAACAACGCTTAGGGGCCACAGGTTACCTACCCCCAGCACAGGCAATCATTCTAAGGGTGGCCAGTCTGCATAAAGGTTGATGAAAGAAGATTTTACTTTAAGTGGGAAAATAGTACCTAACCTCACTGTGGCTTTTGAAATACATTTAAATCTGATTTTAAAGTGTGCTTCCCCATCTCCAGGCTTCCATTCCAAATTATGAAAAAATGAAGATAGAGAATCACACGGACTGTCACTGCAGTACCTGCTACTATCATAAATCTTAATTCCTCTACAATTGGACAACAGATGGCTCAGAATGCAGTTTTATCATAGCCTGGGATAAAGTTTCATTTTCCTTAGTTTTGTAGTGAAATTATGTAAATTCTTAAGTTTTCTGATAGGGAAAATCCTTCTGATCAGCATGTTATGAATACCCTGCCGTTTTGTTCTCTCTGTGCTTTGCCACACCCTTGGATAAGCAGAAAAACATATATTTCTTCTGGGAATCAAATATAGAATTATGCATGATAACCAAAGCCTTGTTTATTTTGTATGTAAGGTATGCATATCGTTTTCCGAGAGAAAAGACATCAATAGAGTCAGTGGATATAATTTTTCATCCCAAAGTTAATTCCAAGTGAAGGAAACCTATATATTAATATGTTCTTTTCCCCCTCTTTGTAAGACTTAAATGACACAGCTTCAGTGGTGCTAGACATGGAAAATGAACTCTGATGCAAGGAAATTAGAATTCAATTAAAAGGAAACTTACTTCAGTATTTTTCAGGCTGGTTTTAGAATTAATTACTCTTAGCGTTGGACTGGGTGTTCTTTTAAAAAATATTTTACTGTTGTTGTATTGAACAGAAACTTGTGGCATGCAAGGAGTCCACCGAGCTTATAGTACTATACTGAAGAAATAAATAAACACACACAAATAAATAAATGCTATCTAAAAAAAGCCCATATCACAATAAAGCAGTTATATTCTAGAGTAGATCTGAATGGATTAGAGAACCATATTTCACCACCACCAGCAGCAGCAAATACCCATCTCATATTTCTATGTGTCACAGCATTGGGTTATTAAAGGCGCTGTCTCTGAGAGTGACCTCTTTTGGAGAGTTCTACAGAATTCCATGGCATGGGCATCTCAAGCTATGATAATATCTGAAGAGTATTACATTTAACACATTTGTAAAAGATGCTATAACACCCTGGGTTTTATTGACTATTTCTGAAAGGAAGGGTTCATTCTCAAAGGAGTTCTCTTGTGTGATTCCATCTCCCTTTCCTGGATGTTTCCATAGACCTAGTTTATCCAGATCTCTCTCTCTCTCTCTCTCTCTTTCTATCCTCACTGAGAATGCAGAGTTGATGAGTTGCTGACATAAACCTGAAAGAGTTTCCCTCCTCCAAAGTACAAATACTACTGCAGTACAGCCTTTGGATGCAACAGCACAAAGATGCCTTGGAGAGTATGGGAATAGATGCAGCTCCTTGAAGCAGATGCATTGGTTCCCAGGATCACAAGTCTGCCCTCTGCAGCTGCAGCACAATTGCAGGAAAATCCAGATTTGTTTTTAAGCAGTTCTAGCTAGATGCTACATTGATACTTGGAAGTATCTTTCTGCTCTTCAATCCAACATGCTGCACAGCCATAATGAGCGTGGATATCTGTAATATTGGTTCACATTATTATTTTAACTGGGATGAAAGATCTAGTGTATGCATTTCAAAGATGATGATGATGATGATGATGACGATGGCAGGCAGAAGAAGGTGATGCTGGTCTTGGCAATACAACCTCCCTAATTTGTGTTCCCATCATGATCTTGCCTTCCTTTAGCCTGCAATTTTTAAAGAGTTAGAACATTCAAACTGGAAAGGAACAAATGCATCTTCCTGACTGAAGCCATATACATATACGCATAGTATATGTGTTCATATATTTATACGTATGCACATTCTAATTAACTGGCTTCATCTTGGTGTTCAGGAGGAGGTGCTGGCCCAGTGTCTGATGATGACAGTCATATCTAGCTATACAAAATCCCTTCTGTCCCATTCTGTGTATGACCACCAATTGGATATGTCTATCTCAGTGTTCATGGATGATTCAGACTCACCATATCCAAAGCTGAGTGACTTTTTTCTTCTTCTGAGAATTTCTCCACTTGATCCTTTTCCATATTCATCCACAAATAAGCCCACTCAGAAGACAGAATAGTTTCAGAGAGGCATTATGCATTTCAAATACATAAAGAAAATTATATTTTGGAAAACAGTCCAGCATCCACCTTCTCAGCTAAGTAAACTAACCAAATTCACCTGTCACATAGAAATACAGTCAGGGATTAGGTGCAATGAGACCCACAACTCCTATGGAAACCATGATCTGCTCTCTGTTCTGGAAATCATTCATATTTTGGAAAGTGGTTTTCTAACTCTACATGAATGTTGAAGTTGGTTAACTTGGATTGCTGGTATTTTGCTATTCTGGACATTTTTAGAAGATGTAGACTTTTGCTGGAAACAACTAGCAGAATGCAATTTTCAAGGAAGGTTTGTATCTTTATTTATTTATTCAATTTGTATGGCTACTCACTGAATATATGATGCTGGCTGCAAACAAGAAGTTAAAAATTACAATAAAATATCAACAAAAGCTGAAACACACCATAACAGGGACAACACACGTATCCACAACAGGTCAGATAGCTTCCTGACCTAATGCTTGGGGGAAAAGCCATGTTCTTAAGCCCTTACGAAGGCCATCCGGGTCTTATTTCATTCATTCTCTTTAGCCGATAGGTACTATTGAATTTGACTGGTTTGGATGGCTGGGAAGTGGGCTTTTATTCATTTTTTGAAATCTATTTTTTCACCCAGAATAAACAATAAGTATGTAGCTCCTTTGAAATAGCGGGTCCCATTTCATCTAGGCCACTAGTCCTGTGTGACCATGAATTTGCAGGCTGTTTTACAAAATACAAGCTTTATTTTATTTAACCAGGAATAGATATCAAAACATGGTTCTGAAGGAAGTTTGGACCTTGTTGCATCAAAGCTTTTTAGCCCTAGTACAGACTCTTGAACTGACCACTTTGCTGGCTGAGAGTTGGCACTCCAGCCAGTCATGCCTTGCAGTGGGGGCTAGATAGGTCAAGCAGAGAAACTCAGGTCTTCTCCACACTCTTTCCTTTTCCCAGTTCTGCAATGGGCTGCTTATCCTCTGTTGAGAACCTGTCCTCACAACAGAGCCTCCATCTCAGTACCAACTTACCACTGAGGCAGGCTGAAGCCAGATCAAGGTGATCCTGGAAAATACTTTCCATTAGAAAACAGAACAAGCCTTCCTCTATGCAAACATCTGATCTCACATGGGGCAGGAGCCTGAAGGGAGTTGGCGACTTGCAGAGCTCCAGGAGCCTTCCTCCCATCCAGCTTCCTCCCATCCAGCTTCAGGGCTCTGTGCCTCTGTGGCTATTCATGCTTCAGCTGCCAGAAAGAGCAGAGTCTCACCCAGCAGTCTTGTTTATTTCCCAGTAGGGACAGTATCAACTTTACAGATCCATTGGCCTGGATCTTGTTAGCAAACGAGAGAGTGACTTGGCCAGTTCATGCTTATGAGCAGGGTGCTGGGCTTCTTTCTGAAAGGCCTGTCTGGAGGGCCACCTCTGGACACACTGCTGGATTGATCCAGGCTGATGATCCTCCACAGCCTCCAAAAGCCAGTGAGAGTAGACTGCAACCAAAAAGTGTCCACGGGTTGGTTTTTTATAATTTTTATTGAAAACTTTTTTCAAATAATAAAAGACAAATCTAAAAGAAGAAAAAGAGAAGAAAAAAAGAAGAAAAAGTGTGAAGAACAAGAAAGAAAACAAATATAAGGAAAAGAAAGATAATTAAAGAAACAAAAATATGTCACTTCCGACCTTCTTTGTAACAAACTCATCACCCAGCCTCCCTCCTTAGTATTATGAAAATCTCTTCAGCCATATATTTGATTCTTTTTCAATTATCCATAATCCATAAATCCATAAATCATCACTTTTCTCTGTTTTCAGTGAAAAGTCCGTAAAGGGTTTCCAGTCTTTTAGAAAAGTACTTATTGTTTTGTCTCTGACCAAACAGGTCAATTTTGCCATTTCTGCCAATTCTGAAATCTTCACAATCCATTCCTCCATTATGGGAATTTCAGTACTTCTCCATCATTGTGCATATAACAATCTTGCTGCAGTTGCCATGTATAAAATCAATCTTTCATGATTTTTTTTAATTGACTGTCCATAAGTCCCAATAAAAATAGTTCTTTTTTTCTCAATATTAGTCTTTAATTTGTTTTTGTATCACTGTATGTATTTGTCTCCAAATTTTTTTAGCCTTTTCATAAGTCCACCATGCATGGTAAAATGTGCCTTCATGCTTTCCACATTTCCAACATTGATCTGAAGTACCTTTATACTAATCTTTGATAGTTTATCTGGTGTTATACCAGCAGTACATCATTTGTAAAAGTTCTCTCTTAAATTATAACAGAAAGTGAATTTCAATCCATTTACCCACATTCTTTCCCATTTATCCATTTGTATATTATAACCAAAATTCATAGCTCATTTTATCATGCAATCCTTAACTTGTTCATCTTCAGTTTCAAATCTTCACAAAAGCTTATACATTTTTGCAATTACATGTTCATCATTTATACATAATTTCATTTTCAAATTCTGTCTTATATTGTTCAATTCCAGTCACCTTTTTATCTATATTAATATCGATCTTAGAAATTTTTTATCTATATTAATATTGATTGAGGAAACTTTCTCTTAATTATGTCTATGAAAAACATTGAAAACTGTATCCCTCTGCAGTCAGTTGTTCTCCTGACTTTATCTTAAGTCTCCATCTTCCTGTATTAGTAAGTCTTGGTATGTTACCCATTTCTCTCTGTCTGCTGTTTCTTTTCTATAAAATGCTTCCTGTGCTGAGACCCATAAAGGCATCTTTGGGCAAGAGGAAGGCTGGAGGGGAGGGGTGTTCTTTTTATTTATTCCATATTCTTAATATGGCACTTCTCATATAATGATTTTAAAAATCTACATTAACTTTTACTTTGTCATAGCATAGAAACCCATGCCAACCAAATCTCAGGTTATGGTCTTCCAGTTCTAACATTCTTCTATTTCTCAGCAACACCCACTCTTTTATCCAAACCAAACAGCAGACTGCAAAATATAGTTTAATTTCAGGTAATCCCAAACCTCCTCTTTCTTTTGAGTCT